CTGATGATCCTCTTGTGAAACATGACAAGACCCATGATGAAAACAAGGCATCCCACAGTTTCTTTAAACGAGCCAAAGACGTGGGACATAATCTCAATGTCAATGTTGATTTTGTTGATCGTTCTGCACTGCTGGACGGTACAGAAATGAGTGTCAACCAAGCGAAGTGCCATATCAAATGGGCCCAGGGTCAGTTTTTCAACGAGAGGCTATCTGAACGACCACTTCAGCGAGTTTGTGTGCAGTGTGTTCAGAAGAACAACAACCCAGCAGAGTATTTCGTTTGGATGAAGTTGGCTTGCCTGAGCAGTGAAACAGAAGGCGTTCTGTTTGCTGCTCAGGTCCAGTCACGTCCCACTCGAAATGTAGATTATGCAATGAATTTAATGAGACTGTCCAACACATTGTCAGTGGATGCCCAGCTTTGGCACAACACAGTATCTCATAAGCGACATGATGGAGTGGCTCTGTCCTTTTATTACCGTCTTCGTCATGCTTGTGTTTTTGACACAGACGTCCATCCATGGAGCAACCTAGAATATGTTGAGGGCGTCATGAAAAATGATAAATAAAAAATGTTTTTGAATAGGCCCGTATACAGCCCTAGACCTACCCAGGGCTAAAAAAAAAAACCCGATCTTGTCCTTTTCGATAAATCCAACGAAATCATTTATGTTATTTATATTCTGTCCCCTTTGACACAAATGTGAATGACAAGATTCAGGACGAACATGGCAAATATATGCGGACCTCGCTTTCGAAATGTCCCGCTTGAATCCCAAGTTAACTCCCATTGGGAGAGTACCCGGGTTTGCTACCAGGAATACAGCCCTTCTGACAACAGGGGCAATGCAGAAGGCTGCAGTGTTGGGGAGTCATCACATTCTCCGAAAAGTTCCAGGTGGCTTTGACGAGGCAGCACTTCCTGGGTGAAGTCCCGTTCGCTGCCTGGGCTGCGTGTAGCGGGTCAAGGGCCCTGAGCTGACGATGAGCTTAACCAGCCTGACTGTGCCAGGATCACCCAAGCCTTCTTAGCTTTTTTAAAATTTTGATCTGTACATAATAATAATCTATATTCTGTTAAAATGTTTATTTTCCAAAACTAAACGAACCGGATTTCCCCGTTCTTTGATGCAACTGGCTACAAGTGCTCGGATATGAAAGGAAGGATGTCTGTGATGCCGCGAGACTTCAAGTATCGTTGTGCCATGTACTTCCTCACGTTCTGCTTATACAAGGGCATCTCTGTGTCTGTGTGTGCTGGCGATTTTCACGTCAGACCATTGTTTTTAACCATAAGGTGACTTTCTTTTACTTTATAATAGGACCCGTGAAGATTCCGGATTCTTCGGGAACCCATGCTTGCCGTAAAAGGCGACAATGCTTGTCGTAAAAGGCGACTAACGGGATCGGGTGGTCAGGCTCGCTAACTTGGTTGATGCATCTCATCGATCCCAATTGCGTGGATCGATGCTCATGATATTGATCACTGGATTGTCGGGTCCAGACTCGATTATTTACAAACCGCCGTCATATAGCTGGAATATTGCTGAGTGCGGCGTTAAACAACAAACCAACCAACCAACCAACTTTATAATACATATGAAAAATAATATTTGTCTTTTATCTGCGCAATCGCATTGTTTGCGTATTTTCCACGAGTCGGATATTTTGGGTTGAATCTTAGCTGAAGTGATGAACACACATCACGCAGGGTGAGCTACCGTACCGACAAATGGCTATCCTTTCTTAATGAAACAGAGGAACATAGACAACTTGAGGAGATAACGACACAACTTTGTGGGTCTTTATAGAAGATGCGTCACATGCAAATATATTCTATAACATTTCGTCCAATTGTAAGGCCTCTCGTGACCAGTGTCACTCCCGACATGGAGGCAAATATTGTATTTTACAGACAAAGAGTCATTGAGACCGACGACCGAAATTATATCCGCGGTCCATATCTCGCTTACCGTTACTATTAGAATTTATATATTCTATAAGGAAATAAGTATGGTGAACTATTTATACGATAAAACACGCCTCCGAGGTTTTGGTTGAAATTGTAAAATAGCGAGCGAGGGAAAAGCTTTTAGCGTGACAATAGCGTGACGTCATCATAAAGATTTAACTGTTGAATGTTTTACTTTGTTCAGTGTGATTAAAGTCGCATGATGCATGATTCAAGTCGGAACAATCACTTGAACCTGTTGATACCGGAAGTAGAATCAACAGAATCTCATCATTTCTCCATAACGTAACTGGGGTCTTTTGATTTGTGAATGGTATTCATTCATCTAAGGGGGCGGTCGGGAAGCCTAGTGGTTAAAGCGTTCGCTCGTCACGCCGAAGACCCGGGTTCGATTCCCGACATGGGTACAATGTGTGAAGCCCATTTCTGGTGTCCCCCGCCGTGATATTGCTGGAATATTGCTAAAAGCGGCGTAAAACAATACTCACTCACTCACTCATTCATCTAAGACAAGTAATATGTAGCACACATTAATTCTTCATCCCAAACCGAGTTTTGAATCTATCCATTCAATAGTCTTCATGACAATAGCCCTTGCTCTTACATGCTGTCTTACTGTATGTACATGACCTTAAACCCTCCCTAGAATACCCCAAGCCTCTCACTGATGCCGTCTTGAACCTGTAAATGGCTATGACCAGAACCATCACACTTTGTGTTTCTGCATCCCCGGACTCGTCACTAGAAGATGATAATAGATGGTACTTGTTCTTACACTGGCGCTCGGCTCCGCATTAAGGGGGTAAAACAAGGGCTGGTCGGCTCGGAGTCAGTATACTGTGTCTGAGTGGGGTATTCATGTTAAACTGCGGCATGGTATCTCGCTAATATAAGTGCAATAATAATCTTGGACGCGACATTAAACTCCATTTTTACCTTCACTCGTGTTTCTGCTCGGCAACCTCTCAAGCATGTACTGACCCCACACGCGATAGCTTCAGACCCAACCAGATACACAAGGAAAGCATCTTTCTGGGCTCTCATATTCTTCAATATTTTCAGATCTTGTGTGTGTACGAATATAAGAGCCGGATATTAGGCTGCACACAATGAACTAATTGTTGAAACAATTATTTAAATATACTCAAAATAAATACCATAATAAATGTCAACTAATAACTGATCTTTTTCAACATAGGTTGTGACAAGGTATTGACTTACGTCTCATCAATGTAGTGTATCAATGAACGGATCACAGAAACACTGATTATACGATGCCTTTAATAGAGATGCGCCACTCCACCAGAAACACTGCCCTTTTGACCGTCATACGCATGTGTGCAACCAATAGCAGTCCATCTGCCCATCCGATTACATACAATAAGAATTACGTCCTTGTGCAAGACAGAGCAATAGCTGACACCAAAGAAAGCTGCATCAACCGCGATGCTGTCTCCGCTGGCCTACCCCCTCAGCGTCCTTCTGGTCCTTGTCTCCCGAACCGACACAAGCACGGGTACGTTGATTGGGGGTATTACGGTTAATTTCTTGGCATTCGTGCGAGGCATTTTCTTGAATGGTGTTGATTCCTTTATGTATGGGCTTTTGTTTCTAGGGTCAGACATACGAGTATCCATACGGACGTGACGTTTTTAATCTACGAATGATACCTGCTTAATTGTCATGTTATAAATCAATGTATAGTCGATGCATTTCCATTTGTGCATATTTCACAAACAATAATTAGCTATAAACGGCGAACAAGCATGGCTACTGGAAACGACATGGAGTACTGGGGACAAGTATGGGTATTGGGAACGGTTAGCATGGGTTACTGGGGACAATCATGGATATTGGGGACGGTTAGCTTGGGGTAGTGGGGACAAACATGGGTATTGGGGACGGTTAGCTTGGGGTAGTGGGGACAAACATGGATATTGGGGACGGTTAGCTTGGGGTAGTGGGACAATCATGGATATTGGGGACGGTTAGCTTGGGGTAGTGGGACAATCATGGATATTGGGGACGGTTAGCTTGGGGTAGTGGGGACAAACATGGATATTGGGGACGGTTAGCTTGGGGTAGTGGGACAATCATGGATATTGGGGACGGTTAGCTTGGGGTAGTGGGACAATCATGGATATTGGGGACGGTTAGCTTGGGGTAGTGGGACAATCATGGATATTGGGGACGGTTAGCTTGGGGTAGTGGGGACAATCATGGATATTGGGGACGGTTAGCTTGGGGTAGTGGGGACAATCATGGATATTGGGGACGGATAGCATGGGGAACTGGGGACAAACATGGGTATTGGGGACGGATAGCATGGGGTAGTGGGGACAATCATGGATATTGGGGACGGTTAGCTTGGGGTAGTGGGGACAATCATGGATATTGGGGACGGTTAGCTTGGGGTAGTGGGGACAATCATGGATATTGGGGACGGTTAGCTTGGGGTAGTGGGGACAATCATGGGTATTGGGGACGGTTAGCTTGGGGTACTGGGGACAAGCATGGGTATTGGGGACGGTTAGCATGGGGTAGTGGGGACAAGCATGGGTATTTGGGACGGTTAGCATGGGGTACTAGGGACAAACATGGGTATTGGGGACGGTTAGCATGGGGTACTGGGGACAAGCATGGGTATTGGGGACGGTTAGCATGGGGTACTGGGGACAAACATGGGTACTGGGGACGGCAAGCATGAGACATTGGGGACGACAAGCACTAGAAACGGGGCATCTTATCCCGAATTAGTGGTATTTTTTATTAAGACACATCGAAACTAGAACAGTGAGTGAAGTTTACTATGAGTTTGGGGGTCGATGTGCAGATCCATCAATGGTGTGACGCACTTTACTTTCTTCCTGTTGGCAACAATTGTTAGTTTAGGCTGAATTTTGAATTCTTGAATAATATCATCGGAATAGGGAAGTTTCAAATGTGCTGTAATACATACATTAACAAGATACTTGACCTGAATTCCAGTTCATGGATTATAAACTGCCACACGTTTACAAATGTTGGGTCTGGTTTACCGCAGTACAGGAAGTTTATAGACTTTTAATCAGGTTGAGCAGAGCAGAGATATTTAATAATAGATGTAGACCTCACTTGCTTTTGTAGATGTCAGTTAAGATATCAAAAGGTTAGCCTCCTAATCACTCGTCTTTCTTGACAGATAACATTCTAGATTACACAACTTACGATGACAACATGGTGATTGTGTCAGTTGTTCTGTGCAGGTGGCATGGTGGACACACTACTTGGATCCTACCAGAAGGAAGTCCATCCCCGACCTGAGGACAACCAGAGTGTGTACGTGACGCTGGATCTGGCGATCAGACAAGTTGTAGATCTGGTAAGCTGACGCCTTCTTGTGAATGCTTTATGAAGAAACATTATGAAAGTCGGAGCAATGTTTTGTAATGGAACAATACTGTGGATAGTGCCATCGCAGGGTGGCATGCTGGCAGGATAGCGGGATATTTGGCTTGCAGCCTTAGGGCGAAGTTGTGGTAGGGGGGCATTGTAGTGGGGTGAGAGGTCGGCGTGATGATGGGGTGGCTGGGTGGCAGTGTAGTGGGGTAGGAGGGTGGCGTGATGATGGGGTGGCTGGGTGGCAATGTGGTGGGGTGGGAGGTCGGCGTGATGATGGGGTCGCTTGGTGGCAGTGTAGTGGGGTGGGAGGGTGGCGTGGTGATGGGGTGGTAGGGGGGTATTGTAGTGGGGTGGGAGGTCGGCGTGATGATGGGGTGGCTGGGTGGCAGTGTAGTGGGGTGGAAGGACGGCGTGATGATGGGGTGGTAGGGGGCAGTGTAGTGGGGTGGAAGGACGGCGTGATGATGGGGTGGCTGGGTGGCAGTGTAGTGGGGTGGGAGGGTGGCGTGATGATGGGGTGGCTGGGTGGCAGTGTAGTGGGGTGGGAGGTCGGCGTGATGATGGGGTGGCTGGGTGGCAGTGTAGTGGGGTGGGAGGGTGGCGTGATGATGGGGTGGTAGGGGGGCAGTGTAGTGGGGTGGGAGGTCGGCGTGATGATGGGGTGGTAGGGGGGCAGTGTAGTGGGGTGGGAGGGTGGCGTGATGATGGGGTGGTAGGGGGGTATTGTAGTGGGGTGGGAGGTCGGCGTGGTGATGGGGTGGTAGGGGAGCAGTGTAGTGGGGTGGGAGGTCGGCGTGATGATGGGGTGGTAGGGGGCAGTGTAGTGGGGTGGGAGGTCGGCGTGATGTTGGGATGGTAGGGGGGCAGTGTAGTGGGGTGGAAGGACGGCGTGATGATGGGTTGGCTGGATGGCAGTGTAGTGGGGTGGGAGGGTGGCGTGATGATGGGGTGGTAGGGGAGCAGTGTAGTGGGGTGGGAGGGTGGCGTGGTGATGGGGTGGTAGGGGAGCAGTGTAGTGGGGTGGGAGGTCGGCGTGATGATGGGGTGGTAGGGGGCAGTGTAGTGGGGTGGGAGGTCGGCGTGATGTTGGGATGGTAGGGGGGCAGTGTAGTGGGGTGGAAGGACGGCGTGATGATGGGGTGGCTGGATGGCAGTGTAGTGGGGTGGGAGGGTGGCGTGGTGATGGGATGGCTGGGTGGCAGTGTAGTGGGGTGGGAGGGTGGCGTGGTGATGGGATGGTAGGGGGCAGTGTAGTGGGGTGGGAGGTCGGCGTGATGATGGGATGGCTGGGTGGCAGTGTAGTGGGGTGGGAGGGTGGCGTGATGATGGGGTGGCTGGATGGCAGTGTAGTGGGGTAGGAGGGTGGCGTGATGATGGGGTGGCTGGATGGCAATGTAGTGGGGTGGGAGGGTGTCGTGATGATGGGGTGGTAGGGGGCAGTGTATTCGGGTGGGAGGGTGGCGTGATGATGGGGTGGCTGGATGGCAGTGTAGTGGGGTGGGAGGGGCGTGATGATGGGATGGTAGGGGGCAGTGTAGTGGGATGGGAGGTCGGCGTGATGATGGGATGGCTGGGTGGCAGTGTAGTGGGGTGGGAGGACGGCGTGATGATGGGGTGGCTGGGTGGCAGTGTAGTGGGGTGGGAGGGGCGTTATGATGGGATGGTAGGGGGCAGTGTAGTGGGGTGGGAGGGTGGCGTGGTGATGGGGTGGCTGGGTGGCAGTGTAGTGGGGTGGGAGGGTGGCGTGATGATGGGGTGGTAGGGGGCAGTGTAGTGGGGTGGGAGGGTGGCGTTATGATGGGATGGTAGGGGGCAGTGTAGTTGGATGGGAGGTCGGCGTGATGATGGGGTGGCTGGATGGCAGTGTAGTGGGGTGGGAGGGGCGTGATGATGGGATGGTAGGGGGGCAGTGTAGTGGGGTGGGAGGGGCGTGGTGATGGGATGGTAGGGGGGCAGTGTAGTGGGGTGGGAGGGTGGCGTGGTGATGGGGTGGTAGGGGCAGTGTAGTGGGGTGGGAGGGGCGTGATGATGGGATGGCTGGATGGCAGTGTAGTGGGGTGGGAGGGTGTCGTGATGATGGGGTGGTAGGGGGCAGTGTAGTGGGGTGGGAGGTCGGCGTGATGATGGGATGGTAGGGGGGCAGTGTAGTGGGGTGGGAGGTCGGCGTGATGATGGGATGGCTGTGTGGCAGTGTAGTGGGGTGGGAGGGTGGCGTGATGTTGGGATGGCTGGATGGCAGTGTAGTGGGGTGGGAGGTCGGCGTGATGATGGGATGGCTGTGTGGCAGTGTAGTGGGGTGGGAGGGTGGCGTGATGATGGGATGGCTGGATGGCAGTGTAGTGGGGTGGGAGGTCGGCGTGATGATGGGATGGCTGTGTGGCAGTGTAGTGGGGTGGGAGGGTGGCGTGATGATGGGATGGCTGGATGGCAGTGTAGTGGGGTGGGAGGTCGGCGTGATGATGGGATGGCTGTGTGGCAGTGTAGTGGGGTGGGAGGGTGGCGTGATGATGGGATGGCTGGATGGCAGTGTAGTGGGGTGGGAGGGTGGCGTGGTGATGGGGTGGTAGGGGGCAGTGTAGTGGGGTGGGAGGGTGGCGTGGTGATGGGGTGGTAGGGGGCAGTGTAGTGGGGTGGGAGGGTGGCGTGGTGATGGGGTGGTAGGGGGGCAGTGTAGTGGGGTGGGAGGGGCGTGATGATGGGATGGTAGGGGGGCAGTGTAGTGGGGTGGGAGGGTAGCGTTATGATGGGATGGCTGTGTGGCAGTGTAGTGGGGTGGGAGGTCGGCGTGATGAGGGGATGGCTGTGTGGCAGTGTAGTGGGGTGGGAGGTCGGCGTGATGTTGGGATGGCTGGGTGGCAGTGTAGTAGGGTGGGAGGTCGGCGTGATGTTGGGATGGCTGGGTGGCAGTGTAGTGGGGTAGGAGGGTGGCGTGGTGATGGGGTGGTAGGGGGCAGTGTAGTGGGGTGGGAGGGTGGCGTGGTGATGGGGTGGTAGGGGGCAGTGTAGTGGGGTGGGAGGGGCGTGATGATGGGATGGTAGGGGGGCAGTGTAGTGGGGTGGGAGGGGCGTGATGATGGGATGGTAGGGGGCAGTGTAGTGGGGTGGGAGGGGCGTGATGATGGGATGGTAGGGGGGCAGTGTAGTGGGGTGGGAGGGTAGCGTTATGATGGGATGGCTGTGTGGCAGTGTAGTGGGGTGGGAGGTCGGCGTGATGATGGGGTGGTAGGGGGCAGTGTAGTGGGGTGGGAGGGTTGCGTTATGATTGGATGGCTGGGTGGCAATGTAGTGGGGTGGGAGGGTGGCGTGATGATGGGGCGTCCTAGCGAGGGTGGTGGGTGGTTTAGTGGTGGGATGATGCTGTTGGTTAATGGCAGAACGGAAGGGATGGTGGGTCGGGTGGCCAGCAGGTTGGTACAGGGGCGGGACAATGGGATGGGGGTGGGGGGGTGGGGTGGGGGGGTGGGGGGCAGAGCAGTGATGTGTGTTCTTTCTTAATTGACCTGTTCAGATCCTTTTCAATACGTATTATGTTGTTTTACAATGAACCTAGTGATGTGTCATCTTCTGACGACTCAACTTACTCCTTGTCTACATTTCTAGGCCGAGACAAAGCAGATTCTGACAACCAATCTGTGGATCCGCATGGTAAGATCTTTGTTTTCACGAAAATACAAATATTAAATAAATAATATTGCCTGAGGTTTAACCGAAAAAAATAATCGTTCACCGGACATGTTGATAGGGTTGGAAAAGGTGAGTTGTGTGTCGGAGCACATCGTTGGGGTCCTCCAAAAAACGCATGTCTTGTGGCAGGGACCTAAAAAGTAACATATGATTTATTCTGCAGAATTGGACCGACCACAGACTCACATGGAACCCATCAAGTTTCGATGGAATTGACACCATTTATGTACCTTTGGACAGTATCTGGACACCCGACGTCACCCTTTACGATGAGTAAGTGTATTGGCTGACTGTTATTAATTATTTAGCCATGAGGACATGAGTTGATCCTAGTAATTCACAGTAATCACAGGACCAATGCTTGTCGTCCCCTATAGTAGCCCATGCTTGTCGCCCCCTATAGTAGCCTTTGCTTGCCATCCCCTATAGTAGCCTGTGCTTGCCATCCCCTAATGTAGCCAATGCGTGTCGTCCCCTATAGTAGCCCATGCTTGCCATCCCCTATAGTAGCCAATGCACCAGGCCCCTTATAGTAACCCATGCTTGTCGCCCCTATAGTAGCCCATGCTTGTCGTCCCCTATAGTATCCTTTGCTTGTCGTCCCCTATAGTATCCCATGCTAGACGTCCCCTGTAGTAGTCCATGCTTCTTGCCCCCTATAGTAGCCCATGCTTGTCGCCCCCTATAGTAGCCCCTGCTTGTCGTCCCCTATAGTAGCCCATGTTTGTCGCCCCTTTAGTATCCTATGCTTGTCCCCTATAGTAGCCCATGCTTGTCGTCCCCTATGGTATCCTTTGCTTGTCGTCCCCTATAGTAGCCCATGCTTGTCGTCCCCTATAGTAGCCCATGCTAGTCGTCCCCAGTAGTAGTCCATGCTTCTCGCCCCCTATAGTAGCCCATGTTTGTCGTCCCCTATAGTAGCCCATGCTTGTCGCCCCTATGGCAGTCCATTCTTGTCGCCCCCATAGTAGCCCATGCATATGGCCCCTTATAGTAGCCCATGCTTGTCATCCACTATAGTAGCCCATGCTTGTTGTGCCCCTATAGTAGCCTATGCTTGTCGTCCCCTATAGTAGCCAATACTTCTCGCCCCCTATGGTAGCCCATGCTTGTCGCCCCCTATAATAGCCTATGCTTGTCATCCCCTATAGTAGCCCATGCTTGTCGCCCCTATAGTAGCCCATGCTTGTCGTACCCTATAGTAGCCCATGTTTGTCGCCCCTATAGTATCCTATGCTTGTCCCCTATAGTAGCCCATGCTTGTCGTCCCCTATGGTATCCTTTGCTTGTCGTCCTCTATAGTAGCCCATGCTAGTCGTCCCCTGTAGTAGTCCATGCTTGTCGCCCCCTATAGTAGCCCATGCTTGTCGTCCCCTATAGTAGCCCATGCTTGTCGCCCCCATAGTAACCCATGCTTGTCGCCCCTATAGTAGCCCATGCTTGTCGTTCCCTATAGTAGCCCATGCTTGTCGTCCTCTATAGTAGCCCATGCTTGTCGCACCCTATAGTAGCCCATGCTTGTCGCCCCCATAGTAGCCCATGCTTGTCGTCCCCTATAGTAGCCTATGCTTGTCGCCCCCATAGTAGCCCATGCTTGTCGTCCCCTATAGTAGCCCATGCTTGTCGCACCCTATAGTAGCCCATGCTAGTCGTCCCCTATAGTAGCCCATGCTTGTCGCCCCCTATAGTAGCCTATGCTTGTCGTCCCCTATAGTAGCCTATGCTTGTCGTCCTCTATAGTAGCCCATGCTTGTCGCCCCCTATAGAAGCCCATGCTTGTCGTCCCCTATAGTAGCCCATGCTTGTCAACCCCATAGTAGCCCATGCTTGTCGCACCCTATAGTAGCCCATTCTTGTGGTCCCCTATAGTAGCCCATGCTTGTCGCACCCTATAGTAGCCAATGCTTGTCGTCACCTATAGTAGCCTATGCTTGCCGTCCCCAGTTCCTAGCAGCCACTAGGTACTGTTGCCTTATGAAGACTTTCACTCAGTGATGAGCTAAGGAACAGATTGCATAAGTCTGTATTCTATTTGTAGCACAGCATTTGGCAGTAACGTCGCTCTGTCGGAAAGGAAGTTCCACAAACTAAAAGTAACCAATGAAGGCAGAGTAACGCAGAGATTCCCCACCGTCCTCAGCAGCATCTGCGGTGTCGACACCACCTACTTCCCCTTTGACAAACAGCTATGTCCACTCAAGTTCGGCTTGTGGCTCCACGATGACGACATTGTGACCTTGACAAGCGACCAGACAGGGGACACCACGTCGTATCTCGAGAATGCTGAATGGTTCCTCACCGGAATCGATGCAGAGAAGAAGCCATATTTGTACAATGGTTTAGTCTACAGCACTATCACGTACACTGTGTCCATACAAAGACGACCGGCGTTCTTCATGCTGACGCTGTTCTTCCCATGTTTTCTCCTCAGTAGTATGTCGATCCTCGGGTTCCTCCTCCCGCCAACTTCAGGGGAGAAGGTCGGACTGCAGGTCACCCTGCTGCTGTCCCTGACAGTGTTCCTGTTCCTCACCATTGATACGCTGCCACCAAACTCCGAACCATTGCCACTTATGTGTAAGTACAGAAATAGTGAATGGACATGTCACTTGAAGATCCACCACTAGACCACTAGCATTCGTCACCACTCGCCGCTTTCCGTAACCTGCAAAAAGACTCGTCCCCCTATCGATGAATGTTATGTGCGAAAATACGACAAACCAATCAAAATCCGCATTTGACTTCAAGTTCTTCGGTCAAAGAATCCCTCGGGAATAATTTTTGATTTTACATATGTCTTGCATCTAAAAAAATACCAAACATACAGTTATATGTGTTCAATCATGCTGTATAATACCGCATGTCCCGATGTGCTTTAAATTGCATCCGAAATTATATAATATATGGGGATATATATGTGAATCATTACGCAACGAGTAGACAATTCTTTTAGCTATGCCCCTTTGCGCTTAGACTGAACCTGGTCGCAAAAATGGCCACGAGAGGGGCACGAGTCGCTATTCGGCTTGTCCCGGAATAACACGAATTGGTCACGAATGGACCATTAGTTCGGTCCAGGCCCAAGAAACCATTGCTTGTCGTAATAACCGACCAATGAGGATTGCTTATGTGGCCTGGGTATTTGGCCGCTTACAAGTCAATCACTACTTTGCCTGGACCAGACGATTACTTTCAGGTTGCAGTGATAAAGTTGTAACAGCGTTTACCGCGGCGTAAAACAACACTTTTGTTACAAGTTATTCATATTAGCGGATGGAATCTTGCATTTTATACACCTTAATGACAGGTATCGTGTATTTTATATTGCAGGCGTGTACTTCGTGTTGGTGATCATGATTGCGACCACGTCTTGCGTCCTCGCTGTTATTGTTCAGAAAATCCACCTGAAAAGCAAACAAGGCTGGAAGGTTCCTCCTCTGGCACGAACTGTCATCATCCACTGGCTTGGTCGTCTGGTGCTGATGAAGAGGCCACACGTTCGCAGGAAACATACAAATGTACGAGAGTTCAACCAACAAGTCTACATTTTAATTTATTTCATCCTTGGTATCAAAGTCAAAGTTACAAAACTGAACATTATTAATAGTTTGGCTTTAAAATGTTTCCGATGTTTAGTTGATCAAGATATGTTTTAAGTTTTAACCATTCCATGTTTGCTAAAGTTTGGGTGTTGTATATCCAGGAGGACCTTGAAGCAGAGAGAGGGGGTAACACCGTCGGTATTCAGAAAACTCCAACAGCAGCAACAGCAGATGCACCAGCACCGTCAACATTACCTAGGGAGTATGGGGCTTTCCGTGAGATACTGACAGGCTTGGAGCAGCTTCTGAAACGTCATGAAGGGGAGAAGGCAACAGACGACACTGACGAATATGAGGACTGGCTAACCATTGCATCTATCCTCGACAGATTCTTCCTCATTCTCTCTGTAGTCATTTCGTTTGTCATATCAACCGTCTTCCTTATCCATTTTTCCGTTTGAACACCATCTGAAAAACACAGGAATGGTACCTGTGCGTGTACCGTTTGACAATCTGGATTGTCTCCCTTTAGATCATTCTTTCATACTATAGCTTTTACACGTGACAACACAATATTTATCTATTTCCCAACTGCATTAATAATAAGAAAGTCCTAGCTTTTAACGTAATACATTTTATGAAGAGTTTCATATTTATTCTACGTTTAGCCAGCCTTAACCACGTATTCTCTATCAAAAATAAAACGAAATGTCTATCTATGTAAAACATGGGTTGCTGAAGACCTATTCCACCCCGCGTCTCCACGGTCTTGTTCAAAGTGTTTGTGTTTTGGATCATGGTCAATTTTGTGTTGTTTTTACCACCAGGTTCTTTGATTTGGACAAAACAAGGTTTGAACCACCTTGGAGATGAATGTTGATCATCGTGTCTCATTTATTTCAGTTACAGGGCCAGGTTCCTGCTCAAAAGTAATATTGCTCTGATTGCTCTGATAACACTATTGTGCTTTAGTGCTGACTAGTACTTGAAATTGACGGCCATCTTGATTTTTTGTAGATTTATCAATAGTCGAAAAAGTTCAGTAATTGTGAATATGTTGTAAGAAACATAATATGGCTAATTCGCAACAAAACACATGCTTTTTTCATCAAAAGATTTAACCTCATCTGAAATAAGAAAGATACATAATTAATCGGAGGCCAGATTGGATTATGCAAATAAGACATATTTCTCAAACTAGGATTGCTTGAGACTTCTAGTATGTTATTCTTGGGACCTTGTAGAAATGCATTGTTGTGAAATAAATTCTGTTTGCAATTTGTTCCAAGTGAAACCTTATTTTGCCTGGACTGTATGGGTCCATGACAATCTACCCCTGTAGATCCAGGGATAGAATAGGTCTTCAGCAACCCATGCTTGCTTGTCGTATGAGCAGACTATGCTTGTCTTAAGAGGCGACTAACGGGATCGACTAACGGGATCGGGTGGTCAGGCTCGCTGACTTGGTTGATGCATGTAATCGTATCCCAAATGAGTGGACCGATGCTCAGTCACTGAATTCGATTACTTACAGACCACCTTCCAAATTGATACCCTTTGCCAACGGTGTTGGGGGTGGGTGGGGTGTGGGGGTGGTTTATCCCAGTTTCGTAAAAGTCCTTCTCTTTCTTGCCGGTCCAAAACGTTCTCTACAGCTCCCGTGAGCTGCCAGTAACATTAAAAACTCAAGCTGTTCATACTTTTACTGTTTATTAATCTGTGATTCAACAACGCTAAGTGTGATCCCCTTGTATTCCCATGTTAGGCATTCAAAGACTATATAATAAATATGTGGTGACTACATGCCCTACATGCTGATGCAAGATACAAGCATATTTCTATACTGCCATCACACTCAGCTCAACAAGTAGAAAGCCAGACTATTGAAAGACATATCTGTGTAAATAACATTTTGAATATTAACAAGCAATAAATAAACATGTACATGCCAATAAAAATCAATGATAACCACATACATAAAGTCAAAGCATATATATTGTTCTGATATTTCTTTGACATGGAAACATATGTTTGTATTAATTTAAATCAAGAAATATTTAACTCCCAGGTAAATCCACAAACCAAATATTACTATCATGATTCTAAGGGACTACCTTTCTTCCTGAATTATTATTATTATTATTATTATTATTATTATTATTATTATTATTACAATATCAACAATTAGGTGACCATTTACATATTTCATTCTAAGACGCATGAACGGCACCTGTTAGTGAACCCAGATATGACACATGTCATTAGGTCTTAATAAAGGCAGGCAGGTGAGTGAGTGAGTTGATCTAAAAAATAGTTCGCATTGTGTTACTGGTAGGTTAACATGGGAAAAAGTCCAAAGTAAACGTGTGTGGCACAGACAGACCAAGAGTCACTATGTTAGCAAATCTGATATTCAAACTCAGGACCATCGGATCCTGGGTTTGGGCCCAGCTCTGCACTGTTCATCAGACCACCTGGCCACCTTCACTATAAGAAGGTAGGATGCATGTGGAGGATTCCATACCTAGAACAATGCAATAATACTACAGGGACAGACACACTTAAATAGGCTGTGGGTTACTATTCACTAGATGGTTGGATCAATAACTGCCTACGGTGAAGGATTCAATATCTAGAACAATGCAATAACACCACAGGGAGAGACACACAGGCTGTGGGTTATTGTTTACTAGGTGGTTGGGGTATTAACTGTCTACAGTGAAGGATTCAATATCTAGAACAATGCAAAAACACCACAGGGAGCGACACACAGGCTGTGGGTTATTGTTAACCAGGTGGTTGGGGTATTAACTGTCTACAGTGAAGGATTCAATATCTAGAACAATGCAATAACACCACAGGGAGAGACACACAGGCTGTGGGTTTTTGTTTACTAGGTGGTTAGGGTATTAACTGTCTACAGTGAAGGATTCAATATCTAGAACAATGCAAAAACACCACAGGGAGAGACACACAGGCTGTGGGTTATTGTTTACCAGGTGGTTGGGGTATTAACTGTCTACAGTGAAGGATTCAATATCTAGAACAATGCAATAACACCACAGGGAGCGACACACAGGCTGTGGGTTATTGTTTACCAGGTGGTTGGGGTATTAACTGTCTACAGTGAAGGATTCAATATCTAGAACAATGCAATAACACCACAGGGAGAGACACACAGGCTGTGGGTTTTTGTTTACTAGGTGGTTGGGGTATGAACTGCCTACAGTGAAGGATTCAATATCTAGAACAATGCAAAAACACCACAGGGAGAGACACACAGGCTGTGGGTTATTGTTTACCAGGTGGTTGGGGTATTAACTGTCTACAGTGAAGGATTCAATATCTAGAACAATGCAATAACACCACAGGGAGAGACACAGGCTGTGGGTTATTATTTACCAGGTGGTTGGGGTATTAACTGTCTACAGTGAAGGATTCAATATCTAGAACAATGCAATAACACCACAGGGAGAGACACAGGCTGTGGGTTATTGTTTACCAGGTGGTTGGGGTATTAACTGTCTACAGTGAAGGATTCAATATCTAGAACAATGCAATAACACCACAGGGAGAGACACACAGGCTGTGGGTTTTTGTTTACTAAGTTGTGGGATAAATAACTGCCTGCAGGGTAACATACAATTCTGTAATTTGCAATGTTTCTTAAAATAATAAGATTTCATATAATTTTTTTTCTGTACTTCTTGCTGCCTTTTTCTACTTGGCTGCACCGACAGCATGAATCTGCGGGCGGCGGAGGTAGTGTGCACTCAGTCGGATCACCAGACAATGTGGTTTACGTGAACATGATAGACCAAAAACAAACATACATTCAGATTCAGAGGCAGGAAATGATACACATAAGCTATGACCATCACAGTTTACAGGTTGCAAATAGTTCATAAAGTTGATTGGACGGCCTTATCACTCTCAAATTATCAAATGTTCAAGAATTGCTTATAAACACACTAACTCCATATCCCGACATGACTCACAACACACAGTAACGTCCCCTCAGAGTCAGTAAGCCACACAGAGGAAAGGCCGATTAAGAGTGAGCATGAGAAAAAATTGATAATTCTGTGATGGGAATAAAAATGTAAAACCTGTACATATTATTTTAGCATATATATAATATATACGTATTGAATAGATATTCTCTACCGGACGGATATTGTAACAATCATATATGACAATGATGGAACTGTTTATAAAAACAATAAATAGACTGTGTATTTCTAACATAACAGTTCAACATTATCACAGGGAACGCTGCATTATGCACAATGGCCACACTGGTTACACAAACTAGTCACATAGATGAGACAGATAAAGCCTGAGAAATACTCTCAAACACATCATGGAAGCTACATACATATGTCCATGCTGACTTGCCGTACATGCACTGAAACCTTGTCATCTAGAACTGACCACAGAACCTCGTCACACGGAGGTGGCACAGCAGGGCAAGTGTTCACTCATCACCCTTTAAACCTGGGTTTGATTCCCTTGGATGTGACATGGTAGTCATAATGCAGGAATATTGCTAACACCAGAATAAACACATTAAAAACATCAGACACCCCGCTCCCTCTCTCCCTCTGACGACTGTACTTTTTCCTGCGATAAAGTACACTTTTTGAGTTACGTCATAATGGACTGACGTCATGGCGCTGTTCAAATTACCTCCCCCATGATCTAGAGTATCCTCCCCCTGATTTAACGTATATAACGTCAAACCCTTCAGATGCAAGCGTCCTTGAGCTTTATCTATAATAGTTCAGGGCAGAACTATACCTTATTACACTATGGGGTAGAGCAAACTTTATTTCTTAAACAAGGAGTCGAATGCAAATACATACATATAATTTCAAATAAATCCTATATTATGAATCTTACAACAGGGCATTTCACAGGGTTTCATCTGAGACAGCAGCAGTAACAATGCTCTCCCTGCTACGAGTTACAAGGACACAGTAGAGATGAGGGAATGCAATGGTAACCAATGGCAACTGCAGGTTCTGTCAAACAGTGCTACTAGATGACAAAGTTGCGCACATGTATGACTGGTCCCCATATTGTAAGTAAAGAGATACGTGTGATTGCACTCTATAAGGCACTCTGAGGCACTCTGTGTTGACATCACAGGGCGGACACAAGTGTACACTCATAACAAATCTCAACACAGACATGGACATCGTTACAAAACATATTCCAAAACCTGTATTCACCACTGAACATATCCCAGGCTTCTTGTTTACAGTTGAAATAATGTAATACAAGGGTTAGGTTTTCACTGAGGTGTTGTCACGAAGTATAAGTAATGTGTTCAACTGATGTGTCCTGAGAAACAAGAATACATTTCAGCCGTATGTGATAATACATTCATCATTGCATATAAAGAATTAAGAACATCATCACACGAGTGTACATTTCGTATTGTCTCCAGAAGCAGATAAAACATATCGTACAATTAATATCATTTGCATATTTGATCTATAACTGCTTCACAAATACAGAAAAGCTATTTCACACAATATCTACAAAATCTTCACTGCCACTATGACAGATCTCTCTAGCAGATAGGTGCTATTATTGATAATCAGTTTAATAAAATTGAACAAAAGCTTATATTTCATAAAAACATTATTAAGTTTTTAAACAATTTTCCATATTTATGTAATTATTTGGAAATTAGACTGAAATGTATGCTTAAACACTGTAAATGTTAAACTCCTATTGCCGTTATTTAATTCAAAAGTATTCAGAGAAAACATTCTGCATTACAACTAAGCAAGCCATCAACAAATGCCCTTTCACTCACTCTTCTAATTGCTAATTGTTACAGAGCAGTCAACCATCATGACCACAGATACCATCTACCTTGTAAGTTTATACCTGTCCCCAAATCACTGTTATATGTCAATAAATATTTTCAAAGCTATTATCCATATATACATATACAAAACACATTGTATTTACAGATACACTGTGACCTCATTAACTCCTAGGGAATAAAACAAACCTATCGAGGTATCAGTAGTTCTAGACGAGCGAACTACCATGAGTATAAGGCATTAAGGGGACAAGAAAGTAGCATCTAAGATGATAGATATATCAAGATGATGGTATTCAAGATTTTCTGTATGTCAATATTTCTGTAATGATTCCAAGGTTTCAAATTTACATTTTTGTGTTTTGTGTTTTATAATTATAAAAGAAAATGGGATACTTTGTCCAAGCAAGTGATCATTTTATCTTCACATCAGGAAAGCAAGGTGAGACATGGTCACTGGTCTGTTAGTCCGAGACTAGTGAAAATCCAGAGGGACCAAATAATAAACCCAAAATAAATTAGGCCACGCACATCAACAGTCTACGGTTTCCTGATTGGTTGATAATAGAATGTTTGTTTTGTTTGTTTGTTTGTTTGTTTGTTGTTTAACACCGCACCTAACAAGTTTCCAACTACATGATGGTGGTCTGTAAATAATCGAGTCTGGAACAGACAATCCAGTGACTGACTTCATATATTCATATAAAAATTGACCTCTATATATTGTTTCATAGAACTGGCAGATCCACAATTCAAACAAGATATATGGTAACTGGTAACTAAGAGATCCATATTGTAAAGTAAATACAAAAAACAGAAAATACAAAACTAAATAAAACTATTACAACTAGTAAACACACTGGTTTGTAACACCCAGTGACAAACACTGTCCAATAACTACAATGGATACAGTCAACTACATGTAATACGGTATTTCCATATTCAGCAACATGTCCCCAACATTTATTATGTATCACAGGTGTCAGGATTATGGTGTACAAAAACACATTAAATGTTGCATCATCTTGAGACAAACTTCTATAACTATATACATACAGCACTCATGATAACATTATTTATATTGTGTGGAGTTTTTTCATATAATGCCACCTTCCTTCCTGAATATCAAACTCAAAACGCAAATAAAAACAATAATACAAAAATAAGCAAAGTGTCAAAAAGAAAGATGGTGTCCAGCGCAGGAATGTATTGTGTTGTGTTCAGACAGACCAGGCAGAAAGAACTCCCAGCTAGGACTTGCCAGCTCAGTGTTTCTTGATAACTAGGTCTACTGATCTGCTGGACCAATAATTTATAGAAGTGGAAGGAAATTGAAATTAGGAAAAGACCTTGTTTATTTTCTGGCAAGTCTGTTAACAAAAAAATATTGGAAAGTTATAATTCCTTTGATTTAACTTTCAAAACTCTAAGACTTATCTTTCAAAACACATTTTCATTTCATTTTAAATTTAGATGACAGTTGTGCACATATGCTCAGATATTATAAATCACCCAGTTTTGCACTAAAAGATTAAGATCAAATGTTGAAACTGATATGGATCTCTGTTGTATTTACCATCTTCTCTAATCATGCTAATGTGACATTGTCTGGCAATCAATCTTTTTAAATAAGAATGATCCCACTGTACACTCAAAGGTATCAGATAAGCAGATGTTGGGTAACTTTCAGTCACACACACACTGAGATTCTACCCTTGTTTGGCAGGCTTGGGACGGCAACTCCGTTGATGGACAAAGAGTCTGTCAGGGTTGAACGTGCGCCCACAGTTGTCACACGGAACAAGGGCAGCCTGCGCGCTCTCCCATGCTGCCTGATTCATGGCTTCAATGTCATAGGCGCCCTTTCCTGCAAATACAAACAGAAGCATCTTAGAACTATCAGCCAATGAACCCAAGATCTGTCTGGACTTTCAAATCTACGAGGAACAATGAGTTTGTTGATAACCACGACATACATCAGCCTGTCATCCTCAAACCTAATGGGTAGGCAATTACTGCTAAATACTTGCGTTGCAGCTTGCATGTTTTAGACGAACGGGGCTATCTCTTTTGAAAAAAATCAGAAAAACAACGGCAAAAATGAGTTTGTTAAAATTCAGTCAAGAGAACTATACTGACATCAAGTTAGCTGTGACACAATACTTTAACCTCCTGGGGTCACTAAGAACTACCATAAAATAGAGATGTGAAATTCAGAACTAAACAGCAGATTGGCCTCATTATTACAGAGCATGCCCAACATAATGTTTACAGTATAACTGAGCTACTTGGATTAGGACAAATGTAACCACTCCCCCTCCTGAAATATAACACTAAACTGATGCAACATCACTCATCACTTAATAACTGTGGGTGGTTGGTAGTTTTAGTCCAAGGGACATAACTCCTGACAAATATAAATAATTCAGGAAAAAAGTTTCTGTGAACATATTCTATGGGAATGTACCGGTAACACTTGATCAACAAGACTATACTACATGCACATAGCTGTGAGTGTGAAGTGGGACTGTATCATCAGCCATTGATGCCACCCACTGGCTTTACCACAGCCCTCTCAGACTGCTGCACTTGGTGGCTGCTACAAGTTCTTTTACATAATTTGTATTTGGCTGCAGAAAAGTGCATGACCATAACATATAAGGTGGTAGAAGGTCCCAGTCGTTCAACGATGAGCATGTGATCCTCTGGATCCCCACAATCCGCTGGACTAATCACGTGGTTTGTCCTGGAGTCTTCAGAAGGCTGTGGTCTTGCCTCCTCGATAGCTGGTGGAGCACTCTTCGCTTTTTTGATACCAGAGATGCAACTATTGATTTGTGTCTTCTGCGTTGATTGTCTGCACGGCGAGTCCACTGTCTGAACTGATTTGATGAGCATCTGGTCCTTGGAGTCTCTTGGACCACTAGCTATATATAGGAATGCGACCACCAAAGATGCTAGAGGAAGCCCAAGTCTGATGCAGAAGAGGCTTGGTATAAAAGTCAGACCATCAAGCCCTGGCAACAAAGAAGAATGAGTCCAGCTGAACTGAACTGACATGATTGGAAAAATATTCTTGATTCTTTTTTTGTGCAATCATTGCAGATACAGTGATTCCTCGCTGTCATCGGGGTCCACTATTCCAACCCCGCATTCTAGGAAAGAGCGTTCAACAGTAATCATTGCTGATGTTCACATTACGTAATGATGGTAGTGAAAAGAACAGTGGCGCACTTATTTCACAGTGGCATGGGACATGTAGATCTATGTAACACTGATCTTGGACGATGAATCAAAATGCATGCGTAAAAAAATATAAATACTTTTTAGTGTAAATTAATCAAAGTACAGTGTATTATTTTATGACTGGATGTTATACATGTAGATTCTATAAAAGGAAACAAACTGTTGTTTTATTCTAGTTTCTAGGAAGAAACGTGGTCCGATTGCAGACCTACTCACATTATCGATCGATGACAGTGCATTACAAAGCCAAACAAGCCTTGTAACCAAACTAATGTGAGACCAAGGCTGTGATTGGTGAATAAATGATGCGTGTCAAAGTTGTGGAAAACCCGGACACTGTCGGCTCTCTGTTTGCACTTTATGTACATTGACATTACGTGTGTAATTACACGGTTATTTGAGCAATTTATAAAAATCAACAAACGTAGATTTGAGTTGATGAGAGATATATTTTGTTCTATTATCAGTAATAATTAAGTACAGGAAAACACGTTGCATTGAAACACTTGAAAGTGGCAGTTACGACCATGCAACTGGTACGTGTACATGTAGTAATGAACACATTTTTATTTTACTAAAAAAGTCACTGAATTTATTTTCTTTTTTACTCTCCCGTTCCTCTGTTCTCAGTTGAGTATACAGTGAACCTGCATCACATGAAGTTGTTCGTATCTGGCACTTTTTTCAATGTGCTGCAATAAGCACTCGGCCCATTAATGGCATCTCCAACGGAGGGTGCCGCTGTCGTCCTCTTCACCATCTTTGTTGTTTATAAGCTCCACAATCGGCAGGTCGTCGTCTCACATGTTCCAAACCATGGCAGTCTCTGGGGATACATCGATGCTGTTTTCACTTGCATTCTCTCGGAACTTTCGTACAGCATCAGTGACAACTTCTTGAAACCCCACGAAATCTTCATCAACCTCGAATGCTGGCCAAAGTCCCTTCATCCAGCAGTTGTTGATGGTGGCTGGTGTCATCTTCATCCAGGCCTTGTCTGTGTGATGAACAGCATCCTTCAATGTCACTGTCTTTGGGAATGCAATGGGGTCCAATCCTCTTTCCACCAACGCACATACTAGAAATCTCTGATAATGTGCCTTGTACACTTTTATTATTCCTTGGTCGAGTGGTTGGATAAGGGAAGTTGTGTTTTTCGGCAATAGGAATGCCTTAATAAGTCCATCATGGAATGGATGGGGCAGTTATCCAATATGAGGATGGCTTTCTCCTCCAAGTTCTTGATCAGAGATGGTCACAGACAGCTGGGACAAGTTTGCGAAAAAAACAATCTTAAAAAATCTTGGTTGTCATCCACGCATTTGCAGAGGCGCTGTAGTATGCAGGCAGTGTTTCTCTGTTTACGTGATGAAAGCACCTCGGATTCTAGGCGCTGCCGATCACCAAAGGCTTCAGCTTGTGAGTCCAAGGCTTGTTGCATGTAAGCAAAACTGTCACCCGTTGCTTGGCAGACTTGAACCCAGTCTGCTTGTCATCTTTGGTGCCTAGCATCTTGTCTGACAACAGCTTGTAATACAGGCCGGTCTCGTCCAAGTTGTAAATCTGTTCTTTGTCGTACCCCTCAGATTCCATTAGCTCTCTTAGGATGGCGGGAAACGTGTTAGCAGCATTGTCGTCAGCCGATCTTTGCTCCCCGGTCACTGTAAACGGATGGATACCATGTTGTTTCTGGAATCTCCACAACCAACCTGTACTGGCCTTGAATATGTCATCAGGTCCATGAATATCTAGGGACAGTTTCTGAGCTTGCATTTTCACAATCCCGCCAGATAGTGGTATGCCTCCATGTCTGCTTTGCATGAACCACATAAACAGCACTGAGTCCAGTGTAGAGTTAGTTACTCATGTATTTCGCTTCTTCTGCAATCCCCCGAATTTTTTTTTCTTCTTTTAGCCATCCACATATGGTCCCTGCTTGAATCCCAGTTGATCGGCTAACGCTAGCTTGCAATTCACCCTCTCTCACCCGCCTCACACTCTCCTACTTGTCGTCAACACTGAACGCCTGTCACTTAGGTCTACTCGCAGTGGTTGCCATGATTGAAATGGTAAAGACTAATAAACTAAGATTTATTTTATATCCTTCCTATTTAAACAATTAAGTTCCACTGGGTTTTTTAGGTCTCTAACGGTTACTCAAGTCCAGATTAAATACCGGAAGCCATTGTTTCTATTGTTGTTATTGCATTAGACGGGGTCGGTTTGAAGTTCGAAGATATCTCACGTGTTGTCTTACCAATCACAACAAGCTGAGATGAGCATTCAATCAAACAATGCACGTTAAGTTTTCTGTTGCTGTGATTTGATTTTATGTGAGTATAATGGCAGATCTGTGTACAATATGTTTTTCACAACCAGAACAAAAGGCAGAATGGTTTAGATTACATGCAGCCGGATACAATGAACGTAATTGCTTTACAAATACACACACATGTACTTTGACTGGGAATTAAATCTCTTCAGTTTATTTGTCACTTTATTTGCATAAAGGCACTTTTAGAGGGAAATTCTTCATGCATTTTGGGAGCCAAGGTTTACCCTGCGGTGCATCCGGAGTAGCGGTACATTGAGGAGCGTTATGTCGAAGAATCATGGAAGAAACATTTTTTCCCGGTCTACCCTGTCTATGTGAGGATTCTTTAAGGCAGTCAACTTGACTTCATTAATGGAAGATGATATGGAAAGGCCAAAGAATGAACGTCTGGTCGTGGTATCCTGTTGTGCCAACTTCTTATCGTCAACACGATATGTCCTTTTTTAATCGGACATCAAAGTATAATCTTCATCAATCTCTGGAGCCTGGAGAAAATGTAGCCATGCTGTGTAAGGGAGAGTTTGGGGAACTGAGGTTTGGTGTTGGTATACCATGAGTCCAGGTTGTCTTGGTTGAGAAAAGCATCACGATTCTTAGCTATCCGAGAGATTGGCCTGCTTGGAGGGATGGTCAAAGTGTCGATATCCTCTCCTTTGATGAGAGAGGAGTCACTAGGGGGAATATCCCTGGAAGGTGACAAAATGGGTAATCCATCGGCGACTAATACCAACACTTATCCTCATAAATGTTCAGCTTGATGTGACTCATAGTCTGGTTCAAATATGTACTCCTCTTGGTGGAGGTGAGAAGTATTGGGAGCAGGGGCCGTAGAAGACAGACGAGATGGCTGAGAAATCCTTTCCAAAGAAGGCTTTGAGGGGGTAGACTGCCCACAGGACAAAGGTTGATGCTGTTGCATGGCTAAAACAACCTGCTGGCGACCAAGTCAGTGTTTGATGAAGAAACAGGTAGAGAACCCTCATGAAAAAGGTCAGGCTGTGCGAACGATGAAGGCTGCGTGATGGCAGGCTGTTGCACGAAGATCGAGGGCTGCATGAAGGTCTGTGTCTGTGAAAATGTCGGAGGTTTGGCGAACGTGTGATACTACGCGGAGATGAAGGGTTGCGCCTAGGTGTCTTCTTTCCCAGAGGAGGAAGACTTTGTGGAGGATGATAATTTTCGTCTTTTTGGAGGTGAGCCTTCACGAAGGCATGTGTCTTTGAGGAGGGAGACAGCTTCAAAGAGGACGAAGAACATTACTTCTTCGCTAAGGCATGAAGATGTTT